AAATTATTTATTATGTTTCTCCCTCCTTCCCTCCTTCCTTTCCCTTTTTCCTTCCCCTTCCCTTTCTTCATCTCCTTTTCTTCTTTCTTTTTCTTGTTCTCTCTCTCTCGTTCTCACTATTGCGCGCTCTCTCTCTCTCTCATTTCTTCATAGAGTGAGTTTGGAAGAGTTATCTCCCTTTTAATTACTTCAAATAGATTGGGAACAATTGCTAATCTTACATAAACATTGTGTAAACTTCAGCCATCCAGTTCTGGGCTTGGCTTTATTGAGAGACTTGTTATTGTTTCAGTCTTCTTATATGTTGTAGGTCTGTTCAGATTTTCTGTGTCTTCATGATTGAGTTTGGTAGATTGTTTTTCCAGACACTTACTCATTTCCTTAAGATTTAAGAATTTTCTGGGGGCCAGCACTATGGCATAGCAAGTTAAACCTCTGCCTGTGATGCCAGCATCCCATATGGTTGCCAGTTGGAGTCCTGGCTGCACCATTCTGATCCAGCTCCCTGCTAATGAGCCTGGGAAAGCAGTAGAATATGGCTCAACTGCTTGGGCCCCTGCACACATGTGGGAAACCCAGAAGAAGCTCCTGGCTCCTGGCATCAGCCTGGCCCAGCTCTGGCCATTGCAGCCATTTGGGGAGTGAACCAGCAGATAGAAGATCTCTTCCCTCTGTCTCTTTTCCTCTCTCTGTAACTCTGCCTTTCAAATAAATAAAAAATAAATCTTAAAAAAGAAGAATTTTCTGGTGCCATAATGATTCTTCTTGTATTTCTGTGTTTTTGTTTGTCATGTCTCCTTTTTCATCTTTTTTTAATATTCATAGTATTTTATTTTATTTATTTATTTTACAAGATTTATTTATTTATTTGAAAGAGTTACAGAGCGACAGAGGCAGAGAGAGAGAGAGACAGAGAGAGAGAAGTCTTCCATTCACTGGTTCACTTCCCAAATGGCTGCAATGGCCAGAGCTGCTCTGATCTGAAGCCAGGAGCCAGGAGCTTCTTCCAGGTCTCCCATGTGGGTGCCGGGGCCCAAGGACTTGGGCCATCTTCTACTAATTTTCCAGGCCATAGCAGAGAGCTGTTTTGAAGTGGAGCAGCCGGGACTTGAACTGGCACCCATTTGGGATGCTGGCACTGCAGGCAGTGGCTTTACCTGCTGTGCTACAGTACTGGCCACTCCTTCTTCATCTTTGATTTTATTTACTTTAATATTCTCTTTTTTCCTTGGTTGATATAGTTGCTTTTAAAAATAAAACGAGTTCTTTTTTTGTTGTTGATCTTTTGTATTGTTTTGTCTTTAGTCTCTATTTCAGTTCTTTATTAATTTTTTATTTCCACTAATCTTGGGATCAATTTGTTTTTTTTTTTTAGGTCCTTTAATTATATCAATTTGTTTATTTGTAATATATATCTATATATGGAGGCATTTATTGCTTTAAATGTCCCTGTTAGTTTTTGCTGTATCCCATAGATTTTGGTGTGTTTTCCTTTGTTTCAAGAAATAGTTTAACTTTCCTTTGAATTGTTCATTGACCCATTATTTAGTCAAGATTATTTGTTTAATGTCTATGCATTTCTACTGATTTTAAAATTTCTCATTATTTTCTATTTATTATTATTTTTTAATTTGTTGAGATTTGTTTTGTGGCCTATTATTCAGTCAATCCTAGAGAATGTTTCTTGTGCTGATGAGGAGAATGTTCTGCAGCTGTTGGATGAAGTGTTCTATAAGTATCTGCAGTCTGTTTGGTCTGTATAACTCTTATAACTGTAGTGTTTTGTTGGCTTTTGGTCTGGATGCTGTCTGTTGAGAATGGGTCTGTTGAAGTCCTCAGCTGTTAGTATTGAAGTCCGTCTCTCCCTTAAGTTCTAATAATGTTTACTCTACATAGTTGGGTGTTCCAGAATTATGTGCATATATATTTACAGTTGTTATTTTCTCTTACTGAGTTGATTCTTTCATCATAGTGATTTTCTTTGTCACTTTTTATAGTTTTTCTCTTAAAGTTCATTTTATTTGCAAAAAGTATAGCTACTGCAACTCTCTTTTGGTTTCTGTTTGTGTAAAATATTTTTTTGTCCCTTCACTTTCAGTCATTTTTAATGTTTTTACCTGTGAAGTGAATTTCTTATAGGCAGTATGTTGTTGATGTTTTTTTTTTAAATATATTCATGCTATCTAAATATTTAATTGGGGAATTTAATTCATTTAGGTTCAAAGCTGTTAATGATAGATAAGAACTTAATCCTATCATTTGTTAATTTTTTATGATTATTATATATATTCTTTGTTCCTTTCCTCTTCTGTTGTTCATCTTTATCATTTTATAGTTTTCTGTATTGATAAGGTTTGAATAACCTTTGTGTATTTGCTCTGCTATTGAGCTTTATACTTTCTTGTAATTTTTTATGATAATTTTTATTCTTCACTTCTAGATATAGGATTCTTTTAAGCGTTTCTTGTATGTCTGGTGAGTGGTAGTGATGAATTCCTTCAGTTTTTGCTTGTCTTGAAAGATGTTATTCCTCATTGATTTCTGAAAGATAGCTTTGCAGGGTTATTGTGTTCTTGGCTGGTAGTTCTTTTAAGTATTTTGGATATATTATGACATTCTTTCCTGGCACATAAAATTCTACTGAGAAATCTGAAATTAGCTTTACAATGATTTCCTTATATGTACATTGACATTTTACTCTAAATATATATATATATATTTTTATTTGGCAGGTAGAGTTCTAGACAGTGAGAGAGAAAGACAGAGAGAAAGGTCTTCCTTCCGTTGGTTCACTCCCTAAATGACTGTTATGGCTGGCGCTGCGCTGATCTGAAGCCAGGAGCCAGGTGCTTCCTCCTGGCCTCCCATGCGGGTGCAGGGCCCAAGCACTTGGGCCATCCTCCACTGCCCTCCCAGGCCACAACAGAGAGCTGGACTGGAAAAGGAGCAACCGGGTCTAGAATCCGGTACCCATATGGGATGCTGGTGCCGCAAGGTGGAGGATTAACCAAGTGAGCCATGGCGCCGGCTCCTACTCTTACTATTTTAAAAATTCTCTTTTTGAGGGTAGAGTTGTGGTGCAGTGAGTTAAGCCGCTGCTTGGGATGCCCATATCTCATATTGGAGTGTTGGTTTGAGTCCCAGCTACTCCACTTCTGATCCAGCTTTCTGCTAAGCTTCTTAGAAGATAGCAGATGATGGCTCAAATGATGGGACCCCTGCCAGCTATGTGGGAGGCTTCTGGCTTCATACTAGCCAAGCCCAGGCTGTTGCAAGCATTTGGGGAATGATGCAACAGATGGAAATACTTGTTCCTTGCATTCCTCCAGACACTCCCATCCCACCTCCCATCCCATTGCTGTACCTTCCAGTAGATGGAAATAAAGAAAAATAATTTTTTTTTTGACAGGCAGAGTGGACAGTGAGAGAGAGAGACAGAGAGCAAGGTCTTCCTTTGCCATTGGTTCACCCTCCAATGGCTGCCGCGGCCGGCGCGCTGCAGCCGGCATATCACGCTGATCCGAAGCCAGGAGCCAGGTACTTATCCTGGTCTCCCATGGGGTGCAGGGCCCAAGCACTTGGGCCATCCTCCACTGCACTCCCTGGCCACAGCAGAGAGCTGGCCTGGAAGAGGGGCAACTGGGACAGAATCTGGCGCCCCGACCGGGACTGGAACCCGGTGTGCCAGCGCCGCAAGGCAGAGGATTAGCTTAGTGAGCCGTGGCGCCAGCCATCTATGTACTTTTTAGTTCAGTATCCTTCAACATTTTGTTTAACTCCTAAAATTTCTTTGACAAAACCATATATCCTTCTACATTTTCAGATGACATTTAAATTTTTTTATTATGAATTTAAATAGTGCAAAGGATATGATTACTAGCATATTGTGTGAAACTTGACACTTAAAAAATAAAATGGTTGATTCCCGCATTGTGGTGTGGCAGGTTAAGCAGCAGTTTGTGACACCAGTATCCTTACGAGTGCCAGTTCAAGACCTAGCTGCTCCACTTCCAGTCTAGCTTCCTGCTATTACACCTGGGAAAGCAGTGAAAGTTGGCCCAAATGCCACCCACATGGGAGACCTGGATGAAGCTCTTGGCTCCTGACTTCAGCCTGGCCCCAGCCCCAGCTGTTGCAGCCATTTGGAGAGTTAACCAGTAGATGAGAGAGATATTCTCTCTCTCTCTTTCCCTCTCTTTCGCTCTCTCCCTCTCTCTCTCTTTCTCTGTAACTCTGACTTTCAAATAAATAAATCTTTTTTCAAAAGCAAAATTGTTTCATTGTTTAACAGTATTTAATGACTATAGTTTATTTATTTTTTTGTTTGAGAGATGGAGTGGGGAGAGAGAAACAGAGAGACAGAAAGAGACAAATAGAGCTCCTATCTGTAGATAGACTCCCCAAATGCTGGCAACAACTGGGACTGGCCTGGGCAGAAGCTGAAACTCAATCCAGATCTTCTGCATGGGTGGCAGGAACCCGAAGACTTGAGCTATCACCACTGCCTCTAAGGGTCTGTATTAACAGTATCTGGAGTCAGGAGCTGGAGCTGAGTATCAAATCCAAGTCATTGGATATGGAACACAGGCATCTTAACTGCTGTCTTAACCACTAGGCCAAACATCTGCACCTTCAATGACTTAACTGTGTGATTTGAAAGCCTCCAGTACTATTGAAATTATGCATACACAGACACACCCATGCAAACCTCAGCCTCCAGTTAAGGGAAACTTGAAAAATTTGAGCCAATCTTTTGGTAGAAGACAACTAAAAGAACTGGCTAAAATGTTTTTTAAAAACATTTCACTTCCATGGGCCCCCTTTAGTTATACTAGTATTGTAAAATATAGGGGAAAAAGATACTTGATTAAGAATTCAGTTGCACGTGATGTTGTACCAAAAGATGTCAACTACTATTGCATTTTATGAATTGTTAGGAATTATAGATGTTATATAAAAATGCTGTTTGTAATCATTTATTTTTTCTATTTCTTTTCTAGGTATTACACCTGTATATCATAATATGTTTGCTTTAATGAGTGAAACAGAAAGAAACTGGTATCCACCCAACCATGTCTTCCATATAGATGAGTCAACCAGTCATAATGTCCTCTACAGAATAAGGTACTTTCTCTCATAAAGTGACTGAATAGTAAGAGGACAAAGTAGGAAAGATTTATCAAATGTATTTTCTGTTTATTTCTGAAGATTTATTTTGTTATTTGAAAGGCAGAGTGACAGTGAAAAAGAAAGAGATATAAACACACAGAAAGAGAGATCTTTTGTCTGCTGGTTCACTCCCTGCATGGTCACAACAGCCCGGGTTGGGCCATGCCAAAACCAGGAGTCAGGAACTCCATCTAGGCTCCCATGTGGGTAGCAGGGACTCAAGTACTTTAGCCAACATCTGCTGTTTCCCCAGAAACATTAGCCAGAGAGTTGGGTCAAAAGCAGAGTAGTTGGGACTTGAACCAGGATGTTAGTGATACAAGTGGCAGCATAATCCTTTGTCCCACCATGCTCTCCACTCAAGTACATTTTTAAATTTCAACGTACATTATTCCAGATACCAGAACCAGTTATTAGCATTTAATCTTCTTCATTTGAAACTCTGTTTCTCTATTAGAGGAACTATTCATACATAGTTTTTAATTAGCATGCTCTGAAAATAAAGCTGTTCTGGTAGAATGCCAATTTGCCACTTAAAATTATAATTAAATTTTTTTAAAGAATGAGATTCGTCTTCATTAGCAAAATGCTAAATATTTGGAATATTGCTGATATTCCAGGAAATTTGACTTCTGATAGCAAAATGTAAACTCACAATTCTTTGTAAATTATTCTTTAAAGTGGAAATGAGGGGCTGGTACTGTGGCACAGTGGGTTAACGCCCTGGCCTGAAGTGCCGGCATCCCATATGGGCGCTGGTTCAAGACCAAAGAAGCTGGACCACTTCCAATCCAGCTCTCTGCAATGGCCTGGGATAGCAGTAGAAGATGACCCAAGTCCTTGGGCCCCTGCACTCGCATGGGAGACCTAGAAGAAGCCCCTGGCTCCTGGCTTTGGATCAGTGTAGCTCCAGCTACTGCGGCCAGTTGGGGAGTGAACCATCAGATGGAAGACCTCTCTCTCTCTCTCTCTCTCTCTCTGCTTCTCTCTCTGTGTAACTCTGACTTTCAAATAAATAAATAAATCTTTAAAAAAAAGTTGAAATGAGGCCGGTGCCGTGGCTCACTAGGCTAATCCTCCGCCTTGTGACGCCGGCACACCGGGTTCTAGTCCCGGTCGGGGCGCCGGATTCTGTCCCGGTTGCCCCTTTTCCAGGTCAGCTCTCTGCTGTGGCCAGGGAGTGCAGTGGAGGATGGCCCAAGTCCTTGGGCCCTGCACCCCATGGGAAACCAGGATAAGTACCTGGCTCCTGCCATCGGATCGGCGCAGTGCGCCGGCCGCAGCGTGCCTGCCACGGCGGCCATTGGAGGGTGAACCAACAGCAAAAGGAAGACCTTTCTCTCTGTCTCTCTCTCTCTCACTGTCCACTCTGCCTGTCAAAAAAAAAAAAAGTTGAAATGAAAGATAAGATTGTTGCCCATGTTTATTTGCATCTTTACGTTATAAGTTAATTTATTCAATAACTTATGACTGTAATATATGTTTATAGAATTCTACAAGTATTTTCAGCTCAGAAGAAGGAAATAGATAAGTTTGATCTGTGTCTCATAAATAGCTGTAATTTTGCAAGCATTTGTGTGTATTGTTTAATTTTCATTGTAACTTTCTGAGGTATTAAATGTTCCATATTAAGAAAAATCTGATGCATTGAGATACTACTCAGATTTATTCATGGTCACACAGCCAGGAAATGACAGGTTTCAAACCAGACCTAGTTTCTTCATAACCATCTCTCCCTCTACCCTCCCTCCCTCTCTCCCTTCCTTCCTTCCTTCCTTTCTTTTTATTTATTTGAAAGGCAGAGTAACAGAGACAGATCTTCGTCTGCTCGGTAACTCCCATATGGCTCCAATGGCCAAAGCTGGGTTGATCTGGAGCTAGGAGCCAGGAGCTTCTTCTGGGTCTCCGATGTGGGTCCAGGGGCCCAACCACTTGGGCCATCCTCTGCTGCTTTCCCAGGCACATTAGCAGAGTGCTGGATCTGAGCAGCTGGGACTCAAACCAGTTCCCATATAGGATCCTGGCATCACAAGTGGTGGCTTTACCAGCTACACCACAGTGCTGATCCCATTAGCATCTCACTTAAGTACCTATGTATTCTTCAATAAAGAGATATATAGAGTATTTAGCATTGTGACTATAATTTAATGAGTTCTCAATAAATTCTAGTATTACTTTATTTAAATCTGTTGTTATAGCGTGAAGGCAGCCATACACTACACGTAGGTGAATGGATATGGCTATATTCTAATAAAATTTTATTTACCAGAACTACCAGTGGCTTGCTTGCTTTGACCTGTGAGGCATAGTTTGCTAACCTCTGCTCAAGAATTAAAAAGCGTTTCTCTTATCAAATTAGAATAAAAATGAATTCCTTTTGTAATTAAAGTAAGGATTCATGTATTCATAGCTCCCTATAATCAAAATTCTCAAGGAAAGTTTAACCAGAAATTATCCAAAAAGAGTTTTTATATAATTTTTAAAAATTGAACTTGCTTATTTTTAATGGCTCTACCTCATTTCCTTTATGACATATATTTCAGATACATCAGCAGCAATATTAAAAAGCCATAATTGTCAAACTTTTGAAAGGCCTATGGGGTATAAAGTTGTAATTTGTATGACAATAGCATGAAAGGAATAAAGCAAAGTTTTTATATACTATTGAAATTGAGATGGTATTAATAAAAACTAGATTATTTTAAGATGTTAATTGTAATCCTTAGGACAATCCCTAAGAAAAGAATGTAAAAATATATTTTAAAAGAAACAACAGAAGATTTAATCCAGTATACCAGAAAGTATTTATTTAATACGAAAGAAAATAGTAATAGAGGAATAATGAATTAAAAAAAGAGACATATGGGGTTGGCATTGTGGTGCAGTTGATTAAGCCATTGCCTGCAATGTCAGCATCTTATAAGGGTGCCTGTTTGATTTCCGGCTGCTCCACTTATGATCCAGCTCCCTGCTAATGTGCCTGGGAAAGTAATGGAGGATGGTCCAAGCGGTTGGGCCCCTGTACCCACATTGGATACCCAAATGAATCTCCTGGCTCCTGACTTCAGCCTGGCTCAACCCCAGCCATTGTGGCTATTTGGGGAGTGAACCAGCTGATGGAAAATCTGTCTCTCTGTAACTCTGCCTTTCAAATAAATGAATGAATTTTTTTAAAGACATATAAAAAGATCTTAGCAAAATGAAAAATATAAATTCTCCCTTACCAGTAATTATTTTAAAGGTAAATGCATTAAGCATTCAAAAGACAGAGATTGGAAGAGTGGAATAACAAAAATGATCCAAATCCATGCTGTTTATACAAGGCACACTTTATATTCAGACAAAAATATGTTGGAAGTAAACAATTAAAAAAGATATAGCTAGCTTCTGGTAAACAAAAAACAACTAGAATGGATATACTAATGTTAGGCAAAACAGGCTTTAAGACAAAAATCGATAACAGAGATAAAGAAGAGACATTTTACAGTGATAATCAGGAAGATAGAAGAATTACAAAAATGAATCTAACAACAAATCCCTAAAATATATACAGTAAAGGGGCCGGCGCCGCAGCTCAACAGGCTAATCCTCCGCCTTGCGGCGCCGGATTCTGTCCCGGTTGCCCCTTTTCCAGGCCAGCTCTCTGCTATGGCCCGGGAGTGCAGTGGAGGACGGCCCAAGTGCTTGGGCCCTGTTCCCGCATGAGAGACTAGGAGAGGCACCTGGCTCCTGGCTTCGGATCAGCGTGGTGCGCCGGCTGCAGCGCGCCGGCCATGGTGGCCATTGGAGGGTGAACCAACGGCAAAGGAAGACCTCTCTCTCTCTCTCTCACTGTCCACTCTGTCAAAAAAAATTAAATAAAATATATACAGTAAAAACTGGCATAATTTTCACCTTCAATTTGAATAATAATAGAGACTTCAATAATAGTGAGGAAAAATTCATCATCAAGAATATGGAAAACTTGATCATTATAAACCAGATAGACATAGCACTCAGCAAAGCATGATACACATTTTCCTTGAATACACATTGGTCATTCTTCAAAATAGAGTAAATATTAGGCCACAGAGCAAGTCTCATTCAGCTTTAAAAGACTGAAATCATTCAGTGTTCTATAACTACAATAGTTTTGAATTAGAAATCAATAACAGAAGGAAAATAGGACAATTCATGAAATATGGTAGTTACCACCCTTCCAAATAACCAGTTGGTCAAAAAAGGAATCACAAGGGAAAAACAGAAAATACTTTGTCATGACTGAATATAAAAGCAAGTCAAAATTTATGCTGTACACCTAAAACAGTGCTTAGAGGGGATTTATATATGAGCACCTGCACTAAAAAAATAAGGGGTAAATGTTGTGTTGCAATGGGTTAAGCTGCTGCTTGAGACATTCACATTCCATATTCAGGTGCCTGGTTTGAGTCTCAGATGTTCTGCTTCTGATCCATCTTCCTGTTATGTATCCTGAGAGGTAGTAGATGATGGCTCAAGTGCTTGGGCTCTGCCACCCATGTGGGAGACCTGGATGAGATTCCAGACTTCAGGCTGTTTCAGCACTGGCTATTGAGGGCATGTAGGGAGTGAACCAGTGGATCAAACTTCTCTCTGACACTCCGTCTCTGTCATTCTGCCTTTCAAATAGTCAGGAAAAAATTAGAAAAATAAAATTCTCAAATCTGTAATCTTCTACCCCAAGAAATTAGAAACAGAAAAGTAAATTAAACAACAACAACAACAAAAAATAGAGGTATGGAAAGAGTAAGATAAGAGCAGAAATAAGTGAAATAGAAAACATAAAAACAACAGAGAAAGTACAACCAAAAATTGATTCTTTGAGATAAAGAAATTTGACAGACTTTTAGCTTAGATTGACCAAGGTAAAATGAGAGAAAACTTAAGTTTATTAAACTTCAGGATGAAAGAAAGAGCAGCATCATGATCTTAAAGAC